TATCTTCCTTATCTTTATCCTTATCTTATCTTATCTTCCTTATCTTTATCTTCCTTATCTTCCTCATCTTTATCTTTATCCTCTTATCTTTATCCTTATCCTTATCTTTATTTTTATCCTTATCTTTATCTTCCTTATCTTTATCCTTATCTTAATCTTTATGTTCCTTATCCTTATCTTTATCTTCCTTATCTTTATCTTCCTTATCTTTATCCTGATCTTCTTATCTTTATCCTTATCTTCTTATCTTTATCCTTATCTTTATCTTCTTTATCGTTATCGTTATCTTTATCCTCTTATCTTTATCCTTATCTTCCTTATATTTATCCTCTTATCTTCCTTATCTGACATGCACAAGGAGCCAAGTTCGATAAGCTCAGAGTCAAGCTCTCAATAACTCGGAGCCTTGTATAAATTGCTTTCTCTCTTCCGATATAAGCTTCCTTATTGTTGTGTTTTACTCATTTGCTTCCAAACCGTCGAACAGAAATTATCAATCTTCTAAGGCACTTCTGTTGGGCACGTCCGAGCCTGATCAACAACAAGCACTACTGGAAACAGCAAGCGCCGAACAAGTACACTGCCTGTGTCTCTGTGTAGAAAACGTTATGAAAAGAAAATATTTAATGCCGAAGCATGTGATGAAGAAACTCCGACCTTACAAAAATGAAATGCTTAGGTTGGCAGATAGAGGAAAATGTGGAAGAAGAAAAAAACGGATACTCGTTCAACGTGGTGAAGGTTTCCTTGGACTATTACTAAGTCCTATTTTGGAAAGCCTGGCTGAACTTGTATAAAAGCCCTGTGATTACAATTTATACATCATTTCAACAATGAACATCGAGAGTAAAACATCTCCGCGACATTGGCGCATTGAAGATATACTTTTGTATCTCAACAATAATGTCAAAAAAGCTACAGCAGAAAAAATTCTACATTCTATTCTTATAGCAAGTGAAATTTTAACTTGGAATCCTCAGGGTGAGATTATTTATCATGGAAGAGACATTCCTGGTACTAATATCGAGAACTTTTTACAATACGCACTTTTACCATACAACTCTCACATTCCTGAACCACGAGGGCTCGACCTGTTTACAAAAGGTCTAGTAGAAGCAGGGGTTAATAAAGATTTGATTAAAAACGAGTATTTATTGTCAAAAATGGCAAAGGAGGAACATGAAATGCCACAATCTGAGAGTGATGTTGAAAGCGAATCTGGTGAAGAGAACAGGGAATCTGACAAGAGTGATAATGAAAGCGAATATGATGATAATGAGGATGATGATAATGAGGATGATGGTGAGCCCGAGAAATTAGCTTGTGATCATTGTGGAGAAGAGACTGGTCACATTGTATACTTAATGAAGTGCCCAAGATGTTCGTGGAAAGATTTCTACTGGGGCAAAGACGCTCAATGTATGATATGTGATGAACAGTCACCTCTACTGTTTTCGCATGTCATTGGTTTCTGCGAGCTATGTTCGTATGGTACGTCTAACAGCAAGGCGGGCGGATTGGAGTTTACACCAAAAATGGACAAATAAAATACCCAGCAGATTGGACCGAACGTGCCCTAGCGCGAATGACTCCGGAAGCAAGAGAGGATTATGAACGTTTTATATTGAGCGATAGACCGAAATATATTCCAATGAAGCCGGAAAAACTTGCAAAGTTATCCCCAGAAGATAGACAAGAATATGAGAACTCTTTAAAAATAACAAAAACACCTAGACGTTACGCTCTTAGAAGTAGACCTTACTAAATTTTGTAAAACATTTTGAAGAAGTAAATGTGTTTAAAAACTGAAATATTGTGTAATTTTTTGCCGGCAAAGCCCGCTCTTTCCGCCCGCGCGAAAAGATCCGTTGTACAAATATGTTGTACTTTAATATATACATGTACCCGCAAAGCCACGCGCCTGATTTTAAGGTATACACCTGCGTTAAAAATAATCCCTATCTATCCATCGGGATACACTTAGTTATGCAAATTCGTATTACCTTAATCCCCTTAATTACCTACACACCTCCTAATGACTTAGCAACGCATAACGACGCAACATTTGCAAAGTTTAAAACATGTTTATTGATACAAATTATAACAGACGATAGTGTTAAAAAATATTACAACTGTCCTAATTCTAACTTCTACTCTTGATAAGTTTTCTTATGATCATCTTAACAGTATATATGTATGTAGGAGGATTGCTAAATAATCTTGAACATGTAAATATTGACCATAACAACGACGTTGACAACTCGGATTAGGAACTGTTTAGTTTAAAATATGTCTTGATTTTTGTAAGGAAAAGATTCCTCGCTATCGAACATACGAAAAATCCGTCAATATACATGTGGAAATTTATCTCTTCCGAGCAAAGATACGGTTATATATTAATTTCGATAACAATTTTGCCATGCGAGGGACACAAACTATTCAACACACACAAAGTCTTTCAACCCCTTGTGCGACTGCACTCGCAAAAATTCCTTCCAATAAATTGTAAGATGTGGTTTTACCGTGTAGACACGCCATGACTGATGTGGAACAAATACAGAACTATGCCTGCTACAAAACACTTGTCGATTTTATACAGACACTTGTATAAAAGTTCATAGTAAGCCAACATTAACCCCTCCATTGTATCATAAACGTGGAGGGACGCTAAAAAATGCGTAGTCAGCAAATTTCACATGTCCTTGTTTAAACCTGCCCGCGTGACGTCATTGCATATAATTATGACGTATGTTAATGAGTGACGTCATTACGCACCCTCACTCCTCCTCACTCCACCACACTCCTCCTCACTCCACCACACTCCACCACACTCCACCACACTCCACCACACTCCACCACAAAAATCCGGGTCGAACGGCCTCTATATTACTACTCAGGTAAGATGTCGCTGAATTTTCTTTGCTAGAGAAAATTGTAAAAATTATAACTGTGATATTTCCCCCAAACCCCAATAATCATTGCGACGAACTGATTAAACACAAATATGAATAGAGAAGAAGGTTTGAAATCATATGGTTGCCTTTTTGGAGAAAATAAGATAAGAATGTTTTGACGACTGGATATCTGTTGAAACGATGGAAACTAGTGATAAACAGGTTAGATGGAAAACACGGAGTCGGAGTTCCGGAGTCGGAGCCCCGGAGTCGCAGTCCCGGAGTCAGAGTGGCCGGAGTCTGACGTCATAAAAATATGGAAAATACGGAGTCATATGGAAAACACGGAGTCTGACGTCAGAGAGAAATATGGAAAACACGGAGTCATATGGAAAACACGGAGTCTGACGTCAGAGAAAAATATGGAAAACACGGAGTCATATGGAGAACACAGAGTCCACCATAAAATATGGAAAACATAGAGTCTGACGTCAGAGAAAAATATGGAAAATAGTAATTAAATAATATATAATTTATGCGATTATAAACAAACGGACGAATTAATATAACGAATTGGAAATTTTCTGCACTAATTCTGGTATTTCTCTAAAATGTCGTGAAAATATGGATTATTTATTTTTAAATACAATCAAGCAAATACTATTGTTTCTCTTGTCGTGTGACTTATTCAGTTGTACAATATTTGAAGTGATTTTAATGCGGATTTTGTTTTGGGTATGTTGATAAAAATATAGCTTATATACTTAATACTGCTAGAATATTTCATAGTCGATTTACATGTAATATTAACACAAAAAATCTTGACACAAAACAGATATGCTGCTTGGAAACAGTGTGAAATATTGTTATTTACTAATAAATAGATGCAGCCAGCCAATACACAAATCCGTGCAGTATATTAATGGCATTAAAAAAGTTTTCAGGTGTCCAAAAAATACCTGCACTATAGTGATAAGTCCATACCAAGTTAATATCTCTAACATATAAGTTTTAGATTTTTATACAGAATTAAATATCATGCAATATCATAAATTGCAATTAATCAAGCAATTGATATTTGCAGGGCCGCCCAGAGGTTGGCGGGGGCCCGGGGCAAATTTTTTTTTAGGGGCCCCTATCTAAAAAAATTTTCCCGGAAAAAATTTTTTCCAGAGAACAACCCCCCCCCCCCCCCGTCGCCAAAAAATTTTCGGTCAGTTTACCATTTTAGGGGTAAAATATTTTTCCGGAGTACAAAACCTTTCCGGACGAGTACGTTGCAATTGCTTTCGAGGGACTTTATCTCATTTTTTTATGCCAAAATTCGGTACTTAGCCCAAGAAAACAGATATCTTGTCCTTTGCGCGGAAATATTTAACACACAAAAAAGGCTGGGGCACAACAAAAAATTTTCACGGGCCCTCAGCAACTCGGGGCCCGGGGCAATTTGCCCCCTCTGCCCCCCCTCTTGGCGGCCCTGGATATTTGAGTGATAAGATAGGTATTTATAACTGACCATTTGTTCCAGGCTTAATTGCATGATACCATTGTAAAATCGTCTGGCATTAGGCAGAGTAAAATATAAAGTAGGGTACATCTGGGCACATATATTGCCACTTAATTAAAGGGTTAATATAGAAATTTTGTATTTCATAAAGTATTACAATGCTTTTAAAAGGGATAATTTTAAGTGAAACCCACCTGTTGTGGACTTAAGCCTGGTTCACATAAAATCGTTAAGCAGTCGCAGACATGTGCCGAATTTTTATTTGAGCACAAATGCAGATTCGCGCAGACTGTCTGAGACCGGATCGGCGACGGATCGGGAAAGTTGAACTTGATTCAACTTTCCCGATCCGTCGCAGATCGTTCATATAAAAATTCGGCACATGTCTGCGACAGTCTGCGACTGCTTAACGATTTTATGTGAACCAGGCTTTAAAGTAAAATTATGAACTGATGATGCAGAATTAACCACTGTTAGCTATGGGATTGTGGGGCACTAAATTTACTGTTTTCGTAGATTGTTGTCCAAGCAATTAAGTTGTAAAGAACAGAATAATAGTGTTGCCACATTCATGTAG